ATTATATAATTAAAAAAAATGTATATATATATATATATTAATAAAATAATAATATATAAAAATATATATATTTTAAAATAATATCTCTTTTTCTTTCTCATATAAGAAAATGGGAATTCAATTAATTCGTTCAATCGATTAGGATTAATTTTCAATTAGAACGATCTACGTGTAATATGAAAATTTTCAACATATTTATTCATATTTTTTGTTCAGTAATATGTCGGGTGTATTGCACTATTTCGATTATAGAACATATTATGAAACATTTGATGTGAGATCAAACGATTAGCTTCGCTAGTCGATCTGAAAGTCACGTAATCGAAATAATGTTTCGTGGACAGAATCTTTGTCGATGAAGTAACACGATCACGATGAAGAATACGACGACGACGACAATGATGATGATGATAATGATGATGATCATAATGATGATGACTATGATGATGACGATAAAGAAGAAAAGAAGAAATTGCTTCCGTAATTTCAAAGTTACGTAAACGACACCTGAAACTTTTGATCTAATTTGATCGATCGTTAACATCTTCCAAACATCGTTTAATTTTTCTTCGTTTACTCAACTCCTACCTATTATTATTATTATTATTATTATTTTCTTTTTTTTTTGTTAAATATCCTTGCGCAAGGAATCATCTTTTTCTTTTCCTCTGCTTTTCTCTTCCTATTTTTTTTCTTTTCTTATTTGTTTGTCAGGTCAAAAACGATGATTTAGCGAATAACTGTAGCAAACAACATATACTGTTATTACACTGTCATTCTCGTAACTGTTTCGACAACGTTGTTTTACAGTTTATCGAGAAGTAAATACAATATCATCTTATTGAAAAATAGGACGCAAATTTTTTCGTTCCGATTCAATTTGAATTTTTTTTTTCTTTTCTTTTTTTTTCTATCCTCGAGATGACATTTTATTTTCAAATTCAATAAATATATATACATATATATAATATATATTTTAAAATATATAGAAGAAGAAGTTTATTTTTCAGGTATACCCTTTTAGGGTGTTTACCCCGAAGGCCCCCCCCCCTACATGTTCGTTCCCCTTGACAATATACTTAATTCTAATTAAGCCCTAATATAATATTAGATATTAATATTATTTTAAAATATATATTTTAAATATATTTTAATATATATTTTAAAATATATAAAATATTAAATATATATATATATATATAAATTTAAATTTAATATATAATTTAAATATAAAAATATTACAATATAGAAAATATTAAATATATAAATTAAAAATATTTTATATAGATAGATATAATATTTAATATTAATTATAATATAATATTAATTTAATATAATATTAATCATAATATAAAATATTAATTTAATATAATAATAATTATAATTTTAATATTAAAATATTTTTAATTTAACAGATTACAAAGCAAAGATCTTTTTTTTTTTCATAGTTTGAAAGAAAAATATTCGATAAATACCTAGTCACGAAAGACAAAACAAAAAAAAACAAAAATAAATTCATTGTTATTAATCAGTTGTGAACTTTTGGCCCATCTTGTACTGTTAAGTGAAGAAAACCCTAACTCACGTTATAGTCGTTAGCCTAACGCAAATATTTCGCGTGCCACACAGGAGGCTTATCTTCTAATCGTTCTATCTTATATCCTTTGACTAACCACACAAGCTTTTCATTAGTTTAAAAGAACCGCAAATTGTAAGAGAATGTATGATACGATATTTTGCGGTGTGTGTTACGCGTCGTGTGTTTATTACCTTTTAAAAGTTTAAATACTATTCGCGTATAGAGTTTGTTTCAAACGGTACGGTAAATCCTAAATGTAAATTTCTCTTCTGACACGTAGATAAATAATATTGATTAATATCTTCTTCCTTACTGCTATTCATGCGAGAAGACCACTTTCGCGAAAACTGTGAAATATGATAAATAATATCTACCTACCTATTTATTATTTTTATGATCAATTTTCTTTTTATATATATATATATATATATCGTTATTTATTACATTATTTTATAGTTTATTCTACTACCTGACATTTTTCGAGACAACATTATTTTTCATTTGATTAAGTGTCACGTTTGTTTCAAATATATTTCAATTTGTTATTATTTTTATCGAAAATTGTTTTATTTTTTGTTTTTGTTTATTTTACCAATTGTGTGTGTGTGTGTGTGTGTGTAATCTTTGTGTAAAATTGTTATAATACATTACTATGAGATTATCACCGTTTTTGAAATTTCTCAACTCTCTTTTCGTTTTATTTACTCATATGAAATAAATAATCTTCATATTTGTGTATTAAATATTTCATTTATTTTATTGGACAAGCTAATAAATAGTTTTTTTTAATGATAGTTTCTCTTAGATAAATTAAATCGGTTAAACTATAAAAGATGACAAAATTATTCAACCATAACGATATCTCGTAAAGAACAACAACAACAACAACAACAACAACAACAACAACAAAATAAACAGAAAAAAAAAGAAATATAATATAATGTATCTTTTAATTGTTTTGTTATTTCGTCTTGGCCGATTTAACATAACGGAAGAATAAATTTCTCTTCGAATTTATTTGTAAAGTAAAAGTTGAATATAAAATTCATAAGATGTCTTACTTATTTATATTTATACGATAATAATAAACGAGTATGTATAAATTTAGTAAGATTTTTCTTTCTATTTATCTTTATCTTTCTCTCTCAATCTTTCTTTTTCTTGAAGCAAAAGAAGAAGAATCGAAAAATTCAACGTTACGATTTAACGAAGTATTACGCATAAACAACATACTATATATATATATTAAAATCTATACAAAAATATATATTAAAATATAATATAATTAAAATAATTATAATATAATATAATTTAAATATAGAAGAAGAAGAAGTTTATTTTTCAGGTATACCCCTTTAGGGTGTTTACCCCGAAGGCCCTCCCCCTACATGTTCGCTCCCCTTGACAATATACTTAATTCTAATTATGCCCTAATATAATATTAGATATTAATATTACCAATATAAAAAACAATATAAAACAATATAAACAACCTTAAACAATATATCGCATTTAGTAACTATAATTTAAATATAATATTATTTAATTAATATAATTGGAATATAATATATATAACAATATAAACAAAATATATATTTAAATTAAAATATAATATAATTGAAATAATTATAATATTATTTAATTAATATAATTGGAATATAATATATATATATTATATAAAGATATTAAAAAAAAATTATATTTAAATTAAAATATAATATAATTAAAATAATTATAATATAACTTAATTTAAATATAATATTATTTAATTAATATAATTGGATTATATAATATATATTATATTATATTATAATATAATATTATATAATATTTTTATATAAATATTATATTAGGGCATAATTAGAATTAAGTATATTGTCAAGGGGAACAAACATGTAGGGGGGTCCTTCAGGGTAAACACCCTAAAGGTGTATACCTGAAAAATAAACTTCTTCTTCTTCTATATATTTTTATATATAAAAATATATTCGTTAACGTAAAATAATAAATGTGTCCATAATTATGATAGTGATCTAAGTCATGTATCTCTTGTTTCGAGATATTTCAAGATTTATATTTGAACACTTTATATGAATTTTTGACAATATCGTTTTCAAATTAAATTGAATTTATTTAGTTTTCAAATAATGTGCTGCGTTGTGTAATAACTGATAAACTCATGTTTTTTTATTTTTTTTTTTATTTTGACTTATAGACCACTTTCATAATTATGGGCACAAATAAGTGTAATGGGTATGAACGAAACATCGGAAAATATTGTCCATTCGAATCCTTTCTCTCCCCCATACCTTGTGTATCCTGTTGCATCATACAGGTATGTACATTCATGTATACGATGTATACATACAAGCGACATGCTTTTTGCTCAACTAGGTGAAGGACGGATCGACGAATTCATATGTTTTATGACGAAGAAGAATAAACAGGAGAAAAATAAGAAAAATAAGAATAATAATAATAATAATAATCAGAAGAAGAAGAAGAGTAAAAGAAGATAGTGTGTCGTCTGTGTGTAATTCGTATGCACCGATGCAGGACAATTGCCTATGCTTTACTGTCTCGTAGACCTTTTAAATGAAAGTAAACTTAAGAGAAGGATTACATTGCAACGGGAATTTAAAAGTAAAAAATCTACAAGAGAAGGAAACAACCAAAAGAAAAGATAAATATTATCCGTTGATTGGATATAAAAATGACAGATTAATTAACGAAATATTTATCAAAGATTACGTTCTAACAAACATAATTAAACAATATTGTTTAGAAAGAAATAAATTAAAGAATCATTCTTGTTGCAATGTACATTTTCTATTCCAACGGGAATTTTAATACTATAAATATACGAAAGAAAAAACTAAAAAAAGAAAATATTATTAATTGATTGGATATAAAAATGACAGATTAATTAACGAAATATTTACAAAGATTACGTTTGAACAAATTTAATTTAAACTATCATTGTGTTCAGAAAAAAAAATAAAAATAAATTAGGTAACAATTTATGTTGTAATGCACATTTTCCATTACACAAAAGAAGTTTAAAAGTAAAAAATGCGAAAGAAAATATTACCCGATTGAATACGTTCGAATAATTTTAATTAAAACGATATTGTTTAGGAATAAAAAATTAAGAAAGGCGTTAATGACAAAAAAAAAAAACATCAAAAAAAAAAAAGAAAAAAGAAAAAAAAAAGGAAACTTAGAAAGTGGTTGATATTTATGACCATATGCATATGAAGTATACGAAGTTATTATACTCGTATGTTACTCTCTAAGAGAGCATCTCTATCTCAAATTTATCTTACATAGTTAATCTAATAATATGTTGAAAATAGATGAGAGATAGATGAGAAAGAGAGGAGAGAAAGTGGTAGAGTGGTACGTTTGTTTCTTTAATGCGTATATTCGTAGTTTATTTAATGCAACAAATCAAATGAAAAATGATTAGTTGAAATTTAGTAGTACACCCGTTAGTTGAGTCCTCAAGATAGAGAGAAAATTAAACTGTCTAAAACCATTGCTAATCACGAGTCGCTGATCAAGTATCACGATCATCGACTCGTCGTCGTTTGTGGAGTATAGTAAAGGCAATTAGATGATTAGATGAGTGAATCAGGCTAGCTAATGCAAGCGTACACACAAACACGTTCATTAAAACTTTAATACAAATATAATATAATAAAGAAAGAAGAAGATAAAAAAAAAAAGGTTTAACACAATAGGTTCAACGAACTGAAAGAATATTCGTTTTATTAAGATATTAGATAATAAATTTTAATATCTAATAAATAAGATAATAGAAATTAGATATTTCGTAGAGTGTTGGGGAGGAGGCCTTTAAATTTTCAAATTTTCAAATTTATTATATATATATAATAATAATTTATATTATATAATATAATTGTATTATATATAATTGTATTTATATATATAATTGTATTTATATATATATATAAATAAAATTACATGTT